AAGTGCAACAGATTGATACATAATGTATCAACAATAATGTATCCGGATTCTTGTATCCGAAATGCCTAAAAAACATGAGATTTGTGTAATTAGAAAAATAATAGGGATAGAAGATAATTTAAGTTTTACGCTATGAGATTTATGTAAGTTATACATAAAGAAAATTTATTTGCTTAATTGATTCTCGTAATTTTTCATAATAATTTCTTCTTCTTCCATTGATTATCAGGCTTTTAATAAAGATTCTTTTCTGAGTTGTTTGTTTTTTTTCATTTGTTATTGATAAAGTATGTCTGCTTCATCACGTATGGAATTGATTTAATTTGCGTTTTAGTTGCATTGATATTCTTTATTACATAAAGAATAATTTTCTTTTCTATTTTTTTTTATAAGATATAAATAATCTTAATTATTATTCTGAAAAAAAATAATGTTACATGTGCATCAATAAAGCCATACGTAGAAGTAAATAAATACAGTATATTTTGTATGTATCATTATAACTTCTTTTTTTTTTTTTTGGCATAATTTTAAAGAGCAAGTTCAAAGTTGCTATCTAAAACTTACTCAAAAAAAATAATTAAAAAATAGAAGATAAATATTCGTAGAAAAAAAAAATTAGAAATGATAAAAGTTTTTATAATTTATTTATGGACAAGATATTATATTGTTATGACTTATGAATTATAATCATGGTATTGTTATTTTTCTTATGAAATATTAATTATCTAAATCATATTTAAAATTTTATTTTAATCAATTAATTCTTAGTCATTAATTTTTACCTATGGCATGTGTTCTCACACCAAGCAAGAACTTGGGGGAATGGAGAGAAAAGAAATGGAGAGGAGCCGGATCTGAATACGTCCATACCTTGACATGGGTGACATTCAAGTATTCAATCCAAAAAAGAAGAAGATATTTTTCTTTTATTATATGCTTTTGAAATAAACCTGTAATGACACTTCCACGAATTATAAAAAGAGTTTTTCTAACTCTATTTTATATAATTTATTTTTACAAAATTTCTTACATTACATTAAGGCTGGGCACCGGAACGGGTTGTACCGGTACCGTTCCGGTCCTTTCCAGTCCGGTAGTATTCGGGACGGGATGGGATACATTGAACCGGTACACGGAACAGAACGGTATCATGATTTGGTACCGGTATACCAGTACCGGTTCATTCCGGTTCCGTTCCGGTCCCGGTAAATCATTTTTAATTAAAATAAAAAATAATATTTTTGTCATTATTTACTTTTATTAGCATTTCTTTTTTGTTTATTTAATTTTTTAAAATTACAAACTTAAGTTATTTAACTTACAAGTTATAAGTATAACTTAATAACTTATAAACTTCAAAAGATTCAAATCTTTAAAACTTATAACATAACTACATAAGCTCAAAAACTTTTTTTAAAAAAACTTTATTAAACTTAACTTACAAACTTATATAAAAAAATTTAAAAAAATATCTTTAAAATAAACTTAAGTAAAATTATTATAAATTTTAAAACTTAAATACTATAAACTAATATAACTTAGAAAAATAAAAAAAACATTCATATTTTCGTCATTCAAAATAACTCAAAAAAAATAATTATTTTTTGAAAGAGCTATATGTGCCGTCCCGTTTATCCCATCCCGTTCCGTTCCGGTTCTATCCCGGTATATAGTGGGACGGGACGGAACTGAGCCTCCATCCCGGTAGTTCCGGTCCGGTTCATCCCGGTACCGGTCAACAACCCGGTCAAACCGTCCCGTTCCGGTCCGATACCGGTTCGTTCCAGTCCAGTGGTCTCATTCCGGTCCGGTGCCCAGCCTTACATTACATGGACTCAATGGACGAATTTGGTGACACACAATAAGATAAGGATATTAGAAACATGAGTTGGGACTGTATAAATTTACTATAATAATAGGGGTCAAACGTGCAATGCACGTTTCGAAGACTAGTTAATTAATAAGGTATATATTGATAAATATGTATATATGTAAGGGATATTTTAGTCTTAAAAAACTAATTTTAGCTTCTTCCCAACAGTAGAAAAACTGTTTCTGCTTTCATTTAAAAGCAATTTTAAGAATTTGTCAAACACTTAATTTTAAAAAAAAAAGTACTTTTGACCTCGCAACAACAATTCCAAACAGGCTCTAAGTAGAGTTTCTGAAATGTTTTTTCCTAATTTTTATGCAAGAATTAACCATAAAGTGTTCTGCTTGTTTGAATTAATTAGTAAAAAAAACAATTTTTTATATTAAGGAGTACTGTGGAATTTGCTTTAGTCAGAGAGCGCTTCCCCTCAAATGAGCCCTATGCAGCATAAATTCGAGATAATTGAGCTCTAGCGGGTACCAGACATCGAGGGGGAGATCAGAAAAAAAATACAACTACAATAAAATACCAAACTTAAAAAACAATTTACATATAACTCACCCAGCATTACATGATTATCATATGATTTTTTATATAGTTCGACTGTAATTTTGAATTTCAACGAACTAAAATTAAAAATTCAGTCCCAAAACTAATTCAAATTTTACCCAAATAATATGAAATTTTATGTTATTAGTCTCGTCGACGTTTCAGTTCTTTTGAGAAATCACCAATTCAAAACAAAATTCGTTTTCAGCAAATCAATTTTGAGATCTTGACCTTCAAGCTCTTACAAAATCTTTATGGAAAAACCTCCAAGGCTGAATTTGAATTAATTTGTGCTGACTTAAAGAATATTTTATTTCTTCTCTTCAAAGTTACAAAACACATCTTTATTTTTTCCTATAGATTCCCCTAACAAGGATAGTTAAAAAGAAAAGAAAGGTATCTATAATTTAAAGATGAAATTTGAACGTACTAAATTTAAAATTTCCCATTTTACTGTTAATAATATGATTTTATAACCATATTGATATCATGAAAATTTTTAAACCATATATTTTAAAAATCTTCTAGTCCTGATTAAAATGGCGTACCTAGTCAAACATGTTTCGATAAAATAAAGCAAATGGAATATTACTAATTAGCTAATTAGCTAAAAGTGATTGAGGTGGAGGAACAATTAAACCAACTCTTCTGAATAATAAAATTTAATCTAATATGATAGTATGTCTTTTTAAATAAAGTATAAAGTACAGAAATATCGTGATATTTGACCCAGGGGACTTATTGCCGAGGGCCTTTTTGAAACAACATTTACCTCCACGAGGTAGGGGTACGGTCTGCATACATTTTGCCCTCTCCAGACCCTACTTGTTGTTGTTGTTTGCCCTTTCCAGACCCTGGGGGACTTGTGCATTGGGACATAATTTCTTGTCTAAACACACAACTTGTGCCAATGAAGCAGTGGCCAAGCCACATATAGCTTAGGGTGTTCGATCAGACATCTTTCGTCGAAAAATTATACTATGTATATAAGAAATTATACAAAATATATAACTTAAAACTTATTTTTCATACATATATACTAAATCTTGAACATAACTTGTGTCATGCAACTTTTGGCTTCACCACTACACTGAGCATAACTTGTGTAATGCAATTTTATATTCTTGGCTTGCACTTAGTAGAGAATATATACTTTTAGAACTTTTTTAACCATTAAATACTGAATTCCATGTTAACAATATTCATCACTTATCAAACTCTCAATATTCATCTCTCAAATATTAGTTTCCATACACACTACTTCTTCTTCTTCTTTTCAACCCTAAAAATGGCTGATGCCTTTGTGTCATTTGCAGTTCAAAAATTGGGTGATTTCCTCGTACAAAAAGTTTCACTGAGAACAAGTCTGAGAGATGAAGTTACATGGATGAGAAATGAGTTACTCTTCATGCAGTCTTTCCTCAAAGATTCAGAACTAAAGCAATGTGTAGATCACAGAGTTCAACAATGGGTGTTTGAAATCAACACTATTGCTAATGACGCTGTTGCTATACTCGAGACTTACAGTTTCGAGGCTGGTAAAGGTGATAGTCGTCTCAAGGCTTGTGCTTGCATCTGTAGGAAGGAGAAGAAATTCTACAATGTTGCCGAGGAGATTCAATCACTCAAGCAGCGAATCATAGATATCTCTCGCAAGCGAGAGACTTATGGTGTTACAAATATTAATAATAATTCAGGAGAAGGTCCAAGTAATCAGGTTACAAAATTGAGGAGAACTACCTCATATGTGGATGATAACATTTTTGTTGGCTATCAGGATGTTGTACAAACATTGCTAGCTGAACTTCTCAAAGCAGAGCCTGGTCGAAGTGTCCTCTCCATTTATGGCATGGGCGGATTGGGCAAGACCACTCTTGCGAGAAACCTCTACAACAGTCCTGATATACGCAATAGCTTCCGTACACGCGCTTGGATATGTGTCTCTCAAGAGTACAACACAATGGATCTTCTTCGGAATATCATAAAATCCATCCAAGGTTGCACTAAGGAAACTCTAGATTTGTTGGAAAGGATGGCAGAAAGAGATCTTGAAATTTATCTACGTGATCTATTGAAAGAACGCAAATACCTTGTGGTGGTTGATGATGTATGGCAGAGAGAAGCATGGGAAAGTTTGAAAAGAGCATTCCCAGATGGCAAGAATGGCAGCAGAGTCATTATTACCACGCGCAAAGAGGATGTCGCTGAAAGAGCAGACGACAGAGGTTTTGCTCATAAACTTCGTTTCCTAAGTCAAGAAGAAAGTTGGGATCTCTTTCGTAGGAAACTACTTGATGTTCGATCAATGGTTCCAGAAATGGAAAGTCTAGCTAAGGATATGGTGGAAAAATGTGGAGGCTTACCTCTTGCAATTGTTGTATTGAGCGGGCTACTTTCGCATAAAAAGGGGCTAAACGAATGGCAAAAGGTGAAAGATCACCTTTGGAAGAATATTAAAGAAGATAAATCTATTGAAATCTCCAACATACTATCATTAAGCTACAATGATTTGTCAACTGCGCTCAAGCAGTGTTTTCTCTACTTTGGTATTTTTCCAGAAGATCGAGTGGTCAAGGCTGATAACATAACATGGTTGTGGATGGCCGAGGGTTTCATACCTAGAGGAGAAGAAAGAATGGAGGATGTCGCTGAAGGCTTCTTGAATGAGCTGATAAGACGAAGCTTGGTTCAAGTGGCTAATACATTTTGGGAAAGGGTTACTGAATGTAGGGTGCATGATTTACTCCATGATCTTGTGATACAAAAGGCATTGGAGGTAAACTTTTTTGACATTTATGATCCAAAAAGCCACTCCATATCCTCTTTATGTATCAGACATGTCATTCATAGTCAAGGAGAAAGGTACCCCTCTCTTGATCTTTCTAACTTAAAGTTGAGGTCAATTATGGTCTTCGATCCAGATTTTCGTAAGTTGAGGTCAATTATGTTCCAACATTTATATGTGTTGCACTTGGATATGCATGTTGGGAATATGCCTATAGTACCTGATACCATAGGGAGTTTGTACCACCTCAAGTTCTTAAGATTGAGAGGTATCCGTCGTCTTCCCTCTTCCATTGGCAATCTCAAGAATTTACAGACACTTTGTGTCAATGAGGGCGGACACTTTAGCCAACTACCCCTCAAGACAGCTGACCTAATAAATTTAAGACATTTAGTTGCTTCGTATTCAGAACCTCTGGTACATATAAGCAAACTCACTAGTCTTCAAGTTCTTCAAGGCGTTTGTTGTGATCAGTGGAAAGATGTAGACCCTGTTGATTTAGTCAATCTTCGAGAATTAAGCATGCATGATATTACCAAATCTTACTCACTAAACAACATTAGCAGCTTGAAAAACCTTAGCACTCTCAAATTGTATTGTTTAAATATGGAATCATTACCATCCCTTGAATTTGTTAATTGTTGTGAAAAGCTCCAGAAATTGTGTTTAGATGGGGGAATAGAGAAACTGCCTCTGTTTCCAAATTCCATCACAATGATAGCTCTTTGGAACTCAACACTGAAAGAAGATCCGATGCCTATTTTGGGAATGTTGCCAAACCTAAGGAATCTCCAATTGTTTAGAGCTTATGAAGGAAAAGAAATAATGTGCAGTGATAACAGCTTCAGTCAACTAGAGTTCCTTATTCTTGATTATCTTTGGAACCTAGAAAGATGGGATTTAGCACAAGTGCCATGCCTCTCATTAAAGATCTTCTTATCCATCGTTGTTCAAAGCTGAAGGAGATTCCAGAGAGAATGAAAGACGTGAAGCATTTCAAACATATATCTCATATGAACTCTTATTTTTGATAATAGGAAAGGTAAATATACAAACAAATCCCAATCCTACATAACTTTCTTCATTTTTTTTCTTTTTTTATATAAATAATGTTTGTGTTAAACAGGAGATGAAGCTGTTACTCGAAGACATTCAAGTTGATGAAGATGGGTTGTCCAAGCATCAATCAAGTTTCCATCACTTTACTGATTTTTTGGTTTTTGGCGTTTTTATTAGTGTGTGGAATTGATTGTAAGAGATTTTTTTTCTTTTTTTTTGGGGGGGGGGGGGGGGGGGGGATTGTATGCAAAAATGATTTTGTGATTATTTAATTAATATACATCTAGTATACAATAATATACAGCTGGTACAATAATATTACAAAACTTTTATATTTCTTTTTTACAAAAATATTGTAAAACTTGATATACAATAATTTATATATGAATATTATACAAAATTATAAGAGGTATTTATACACCCATATACAATAATGTATAATTTTATACCCTATAATACAAAACAGAATTTCGTCAAACTTTGCAACTTGATTTCTCTCAAACGGCAAGATTGAATCTTCTGAAAATTTGTGGAGAAGTATAGTGATGGTCTATCATCCCCAATAGGCCAGACATAATGAACTACAGTAGACATCTTTGCAATATAATGCACACACAAAAATATTTAAGCTAAATAAGATATAAATTTTATTTTTAAAAATGAATGACTAAAGCTTGCAAACAACAAGGTGGAGACAAACAACTTATTCTTAGAAATTAAACAATGCATATTATTTTGAATATGACAAAGCAAAGAAGCAATAAAAATTAATGCCAACATAATTAATGCTAGCATAACTTGTTTTCGAACCAACCGACAATGTATTTGGTAGGAAGGAAAATATTTTCCATACCAACTTATATTCCTCAAATTTAAGAAAAATGACTTACCTCCAAAAAGTAAGGAAAACATTTTTCAGAACTCTTTTTCAACCTCACACCTCACCTTTCCACCCTAACTCAAGTCTCGAGTTATTATCAATACTAATTCGGGATCTGACTCTTAATTCTCGATTCGGGACACGACTCCTAACCTGGATGCGAGACCTAACCCAAGAGATGGGTCTGAGTCAAATTCTGATTCGGGTGTCGAGTCCCAGATCAAAATTCTAGGTCAGATCTTGGATTGGACGTTGGGGTTTGTTCCCGAGTCAGGTGTCGGTGTGGGGTTCCAAATTGAGTGTCAGAGTCAAGTTTGGGTCAATAGTCGAGGTTTAGTCTCAGGTTAGTTGTCAAATTTGAGTCCCAGACCGGTTGTCGGGGTCGGGTGTCGTGGTTGAATTTTGATTTGAAAGTCAAGTCCTTGATAGGGATTTGGGATCAGATCCGGAGTTGGAAGTTGGCTCAAGTGTCGGGGTCAGGTCTCACATCGAGTGTTGGGGTCGAATCTTGGTTTAGATCTCGGGTTCGTGTCGAGATCGAGAACCAAAACAATCATCGGGTTCAAGATCAGGGTCAAGGTCAATGTCGAGTCTTAGGTCAGGAGTCGAGGTCAGGTCCCAATTCAGGTGTCGGGATCAGGTTTTGGATCAATTATCGGAGTTGATTTTCTAATCAGAAACTATTTTCCTAAAATGTATTTTCTAATCTCTAGCCAAAAATAAAAGTTTTTTTTTTTTCTGAAAAATGTTTTTCATTCACCAACTGAACACTAGAAAATATTTTTCATCCATCACCCAAACATGAGAAAATAAGTTAAAAACCAACTTATTTTCTAAGAAAACATTTTCCTTCATACCAAACACACCCTTAAGTCTCAATCCCAAAAAATATTGACGATTGACAATCGGTTATATTAATCATCACTATCAATATTGTTCTATTGTTAATTAAAAAGTTGATGGTAAAAAATATACCTTAAGTATCTTAATTTATCGAGTCTCATATTTGAGCTATGAGTTGAGCACTCTCACTTACAAAATGATCATCTAGGCACTCTCAAAGTCGAAGTGCTTATTTGCTAGTTGATTAGACTGAATCAAATCAAGAAAAAGAAACTCAAACAAGGATTTGGTTTAGTATTGAAGAAAAAAAAATCCATCATAATTAATTTAGTTTAGTTATAACTTAAGAAAAAGCATATCAAAATCAAACCAAAGCGATACTATATTTATATATATTTTATAAATATGTTGTACTTTAAAATATTTATTATAATTCTTAATAAATAATGGTTGTAGATGCCAAATGGTGGTATGTAATTAATGGAGGACGATGACAGTAAGTTGGATGAGGGATTTGTTGAACTGCTAACAACAGCATATCCAGTAAAATCTCACTAAGTGGGATCTGAGGAGGGTAGAGTGTACGCACACTCTACCTCCAATTTTCATGAAAATCTTTAAATAGATATCTTAACAATATTAATATTTTTTTTCTTATACAGATTAATCGTTCAGATTTATTGAAACACTAAAAAAAAAAAAAGGGGGAGGGGGGGGAGGGGTGAGAGAGATCACTATTCTGATGGAATAATTCAAAGTCAAATATTGACTATATAGAAATTATAAAGATATCATGTGCACTACAACCAAACCAATTTTAAATTTTCTGGGAATGTGTACTAATAATGTACTTGTTAATATTATTCCACATTTGATATAATTCTTTTACTAATTAATCAAAGAGAAGAAAAGTAAACTAAAATATACTTAACTCTTGAGTCAAACTTCTTCTGGCAGCAATTAACAGCTAACTTTGATTTGTCTTTTGTCCTAAAGATGGTTGATGCCTTTGTGTCATTCGCAGTTCAAAAATTGGGGGATTTTCTCATACAGGAAGCTTCCCTGCGTACAAGTCTCAGACAGGATGTGCGGTGGCTGCGAAATGAGCTGTTCTTCATGCAGTCTTTCCTTAAAGATGCAGAACAAAAGCAAGTTGTAGATCAAAGAGTTCAACAATGGGTGTTTGAGATCAAATGACGCCGTTGCTATACTCGAGACTTATAGCTTCGAGGCTAGTAAAGGTGACGACGCTAGATTTGCTAGTCGTCTAAAAGCTTACAATTGCATCTGCAAGAAGGAGACAAAATTCTACAACGTCAGCAAGGAGATCCAATCACTAAAGCATCAAATCATGGATATCTCTCGCAAACGAGAGACTTATGGTATTAGAGATATCAATAATGCAGGAGAAGGGCCAAGTAATCGCCCAAACAATCAGTATGACATGGTTAGAACATTGAGGAGAACTACCTCATATGTAGATGAGGATCACATTTTTGTTGGCTTTCAGGATGTTGTACAAACATTGCTAGCTGAACTTCTCAAAGCAGAGCTTCACAGAAGCGTCATCTCCATTTATGGTACGGGCGGATTAGGCAAGACAACTCTTGCGAGAAACCTATCCATCAGTCTTAATATAGTCTCTAGCTTCTCTACACGTGCTTGGATATGTGTTTCTCAAGAGTACAACACCATGGATCTCCTTAGGAATATCATAAAATCCATCCAAGGTTGCACCAAGGAAACTCTAGATTTGTTGGAAAAGATGACAGAGAGAGTTCTAGAAATTTACCTTCATGATCCTTTAAAAGAACCCAAATACCTTGTGGTGGTCGATGATTTATGGCATAGAGAGGCATGGGAAAGTTTGAAACGAGCGTTTCCAGATAGCAAGAACGGCAGCAGAGTTATTATTACCACACGCAAAGAGGATGTCGCTGAAAGAGCAGATAACAAAGGTTTTGTCTATAGACTTCGTTTCCTGAGCCAAGAAGAAAGTTGGGATCTCTTTTGTAGGAAACAACTTGATGTTCAGGCAATGTCTTAGCAATGGAAAGGCTAGCAAAGGAAATGGTGGACAAGTGTGGAGATTTACCTCTTGCAATTGTTGTACTAAGCGGACTACTTTCACATAAAAGGGGGTTCGAAGAATGGCAAAAGGTGAAGGACCACCTTTGGCAAAACATTAAAGACGGCTCTAGTGAAGTCTCCTGCATACTATCATTGAGCTACAACGGTTTGTCAACTGCGCTCAAGCAGTGTTTCCTGTACTTTGGTATTTTTCCAGAAGATCACGTGGTCCATGTTAATCACATATTATGGTTGTGAATGGCTGAAGGATTCGTACCAACAGGTAAAGAAATAATGGAAGATGTTGCTGAAGGCTTCTTGAATGAGCTGATAAGACGAAGCTTAATACAAGCGGCAAGAACATTTTGGGAAAAAGTTAGTAAATGTAGGATTCATGATCTACTTCGCGATCTTGCTGTACAAAAAGCATTGGAGGTAAGCTTTTTTGACATTTATGATCCAAGAAAGCACTCCATATCCTCCTTTTGTCTGAGACATTCCATTCATAGTCAAGGAAAACGGTATCTCTCACTTGATCTTTCTAACTTTAAATTGAGGTCACTTATGTTCCTTGATCCAAACTTTTTAAAGATGGGTCTTATAAAGTTCCATAATGTGTTCCAACATCTCTATGTGTTGTACTTGGAGATTCGTGTTGACAATAAGTCTATAGTACCTGATGCCATAGGAAGTTTGTACCACCTCAAGTTCTTAAGATTGAGAGGTATCTATGATATTCCCTCTTCCATTGGCAACCTCAAGAATTTACAGACACTTCTTGTCAATGACTATGGGTACTCATGCCAACTACCCTGCGAGACAGCTGACCTAATAAATCTAAGACATTTGGTTGCTCCGTATTCAAAACCTCTGAAACGTATAGGCAAACTCACAAGTCTTCAAGTTCTTAAAGGCATTGGTTGTGATCAGTGGAAAGATGTTGACCCTATTGATTTAGTCAATCTTCAATAATTAAGTATGCATTATATTAAAATTTACCTTCGTGATCTTTTAAAAGAATGCAAATACCTTGTGGTGGTTGATGATGTATGGCAGAGAGAAGCATGGGAGATTTTAAAAAGAGCATTCCCGGATGGCAAGAATGGCAGCAGAGTCATTATTACCACGCGCAATGAGGATGTCGCTGAAAGAGCAGACGACAGAGATTTTGTCCATAAACTTCGTTTCCTAAGCCAAGAAGATAGTTGGGATCTCTTTTGTAGGAAACTACTTGATGTTCGAGAAATGGTTCCAGAAATGGAAAGATTAGCTAGAGATATGGTGGAAAAGTGTGAAGGCTTACCTCTTGCGATTGTTGTATTGAGCATACTTCTTTCGCATAAAGGGGCGCTAGATGAATGGCAAAAGGTGAAAGATCACCTTTGGAAGAACATTAAAGACGATAAATCTATTGAAATCTCCAACATACTATCATTAAGCTACAATGATTTGCCAATTGCGCTCAAGCAATGTTTTTTGTACTTTGGTATTTTTCCAGAAGATCAAGTGGTCAAGGCTGAAAACATAATACTGTTGTGGATGGCGGAGGGTTTCATACCAAGAGGAGAAGAAAGAATGGAGGATATCGCTGAAGGCTTCTTGAATGAGCTAATAAGACGAAGCTTGGTTCAAATGGCTGGAGCATTTTGGGAAGAAGTTACCGTATGTAGGGTTCATGATTTACTTCGTGATCTTGCCATACAAAAGGCATTGGAGGTAAACTTCTTTGACATTTATGATCCTAAAAGCCACTCCATATCCTCTTTATGTACCAGACATGTCATTCATAGTCAAGGAGAAAGGTACCTCTCACTTGATCTTTCTAACTTAAAATTGAGGTCAATTATGTTCTTTGATCAGGATTTTTGTAATGTGTTCCAACATATAAATGTGTTTCGACATCTATATGTGTTGTACTTGTATATTAAAGAAGGTGGTGTTATACCTAATGCCATAGGGAGTTTGTACCACCTCAAGTTGTTAAGGTTGAGAGGTATTGATAATCTTCCCTCCTCCATTGGCAAACTCAAGAATTTACAGACACTTGTCGTTGTCAATGAGGACGGATCATATTGCCAACTAACCCCCAAGACAGCTGACCTAATAAATCTAAGACATTTAGTTGCTCCATATTCAGAGCCTCTGGTAGGTATAAGCAAACTCACCAGTCTTCAAGTTGTTGATGGCATCTGTTGTGATCAGTGGAAAGATGTTAACCCTGTTGATTTAGTCAATCTTAGAGAATTAAGTATGCATTATATTAACAAATCTTACTCCCTAAACAACATTAGCAGCTTGAAAAACCTTAGCACTCTCAGATTGCAGTGTAACCGTGTTGCATCTCCATTACCATCCCTTGAACTTATTAATTGTTGTGAAAAGCTCCATAAATTGTGGTTAACAGGGAGAATAGAGAAACTGCTGCATCTATTTCCAAATTCCATCACAGTGATGATTTTTGGGGGTTCAAAACTGTCAAAAGATCCGACCGATGCATATTTTGGGATTGTTGCCAAACCTAAGGAATCTCAAATTATTCGCAGCTTATAAAGGAAAAGAAATAACCTGAAGTGATAACAGTTTCAGTCAACTAAAGTTCATGTATCTTGCTATTCTTTCAAACCTAGAAAGATGGCATTTAGGCACAAGTGACATGCCTCTGATTAAAGGTCTTGGTATCCATCGTTGTCCAAAGTTTCGGCTATAATGCTTAGGATCAAAAAGAGTTGATCATCTTCAGTATCAAACCACATATGTACAACACTCATTTCTTTACATGTGAAATGAAATGGCTTAACGTCAAAAGTACCCTTAACGTATAGGAAATGGCTAAAAAATGTCCTTCTTCCACCTATTGAATCAAAAATTCTGGATCAAAAATGCCCTTAAGGTTAAGTTTAACAAAAGCTGATGTGGCATAAATGATTTTTTAAAATTAAATATGTGGCATTATTTTTATTTATCCACATGCAATTAACTAAACCCAATTTCATTCACAATCATACCCATTAACCCAAACTCATTTCTAAATGAAAGACCCAATACTTTCTTCATTTTCCTTCTCCAAAATTATTTGGAGGAATTAATAAAGTACTGATTTTCAAGATATGTTGAATTTACTTGGTTTTCAATATTCTACAGTCCCGTTTTCTAGCACAGCCTTGGACATTATACTTGTCCCACTGGCTCTCAAAATGTAACCAAATGCTTTTAGATGTAAAGCAGTGTTTCTAATTCGAGTTCCCTTTCTCCATCAACGTTACTAATTCACCTGTTTTCTGCTCTGTATGCACTTGGATGCTTGTGATAACTTGTCGCCAAGTTAGATTTTGCTGATGATGATGACCCAATTGAGATTTTTCAGTTTTTGACTTGGGATGCTTCTGATAATTCATCGCCATCTTCATGCTTTTATTAATTCACCAAGTCATTTTGGAAAAGGAAGATGAAGAAAGTGTTGGGTTTTTAAGAAATGGGTTTGGATCAATGAGTATGCTTGTGAATGAAATTGGATCTTACATGTGGACCAATAAAATAATATCACATATTTAATTAAAAGAATTTTTAATGCCACATCAGCTTCTGTTAATAATTTTAGGCTTAAACTTAACCTTAACGGTATTTTTTTAATCCAAATAGGTGGATAGGAGGGCATTTTTTATCCAATAGGTGGATGGGAGGGCATTTTTGAACCATTTTCAATACGTTAAGGACATTTTTTACCTTTTTCCGTTAAATAAATTAGATGATTATCAGTCAAATGAAGTTAGCAAATTAAACAGAAAAATCTAGACTTAATAAGAATGTACCTGAAAATTAGAAGACACGCTTTTGTACTAGCTTACCGACGGAAGCATATATTGAATGACTAATATTAGGTATGTTTATATAGTCTAGTCTTGAAGATTTGATGGTAAAATTCTTTTGTATTCCTCAATCACTTAATTTGATTCCTTGAACTTCTCATAATTAACAAAGTACGTTGCAACTTCTATATTAATTAAAGAAAAAAAAAATTGGCCAGAAAATTTGATCAGAATTTAGCCAGAATGATATTTTATCTATGTTATTTTACCTTTTTAAACATTTTTACCCTTTTAACTTTAATACATTTTAACTAAAAAATGGAAAAAAAATTAGTTTGTTTTAAAATTAAAAAAAAATTATAATTTTTTTTAATTTTCTAGCCAAATTCTGACTAAATTTTCTGACCATTTAGCATTTCCCTTAATTAGAAGTTTAGTGTTCGTTCATTACCATCAAAAGAAAGAAAACAAATATTTATGGAGAATTAATTTTTAAAAAAGAATACTATGTTCAGCTGTTTCAACACATAATGATTGAGTAATTAAGTTGGGCATGTTTTGGAGGATTCACGAATATGAACTATTAAAGTAAGTTCTCATTTACTCCCCTATTACGTTATTTAAATAATACTATTTAATTAGATATTTAATTTATGTTTAGAGTAATTATTTTATTACATTTTAATTTAGTATAGGAGCAAAATGGTAATCCAATTTTACACTTGGTAGATCTTCACTTTTAATATAATATATGATGATGATAACTACTCCCTCCATCCACTTTTATTTGTCATGTTGCGTTTTTCGAAAGTTAATTTGATAAATTTTCAAAGTTAAATTAGATTACATTTATTCAATATTTTTTTTAAAAAAAATAGATATTCAAAAAACTATACGAAAAGTATTGTAAATTGCAATTTTTTGCATATCAATATGATGAAAAAATACATCATAAAATGTTAGTCAAAGTTTTTATAGTTTGACTCTATAAAGGAAACTATGATAATTAAAAGTGGACAGAGATAGTAGTTTAGTAGCAATAGTAAAAAATAATATTCAATGCCTTTTTTTAAAATTAAATATAAAATTCAGAGTGGTAAGTTGGAATATAATACTTTTGTGAATTTTTTTTAAGGTTAATTTTCATGTAAAATACGCACCATTAAGAAGGATATTGAAAGAAAACTTGATATATGAAATTAAAAAATTTCATCCTAATTAAATCTTTAAAATATCTATTATACCCTTACATGTGCGCATCACATTACATAAAATATATAGTTGTAATTCGAAGATTAATAAGAAAATAATAAAGTAGACTTAATTCTCTCCATATATATTTTCCCACGAGTTAAAGAAGCTTTAATACATATTTCAAGAATAAAAAAAAAAATGTACCTTACCCTTTGATTGCATCTTTGTCCTTTTTGATAATGGCTTGCCTTGTCTAGTCATAATTTTTTTTCTCAGAAACCACATGGTCATGTTTCGTTTTTTCTAAACTTTAATCTCTCTCTCTCTCTCACACACACACATATATATATAGGCATAATACATAAACATGACCCTTAACTTGGTTTCAGCGTACAACTATATTCTTCAACTTTGAGTGTGCACAAGTAGGCAATTAAACTTGTATAAAATTGAACAAGTAGACATCCTACATGGCATAATACATATAGGACACAAAATTGCCATGTAGAGTGTCATATAGGACGAATGTGTCTAGTTATTCAATTTTATACAAGTTTAATTGTCTATTTATGCTCACCCAAAGTTAAAGGTCATAGTTATCAGTTGACGTCAAATTAAGGGTCATGTTTATATATTATGCCTCTATATAAGTGGACACACTATTTACTCTCACATTTATGTCTCACTACTATTCTCAATCAAAAGAAGTATTCCTGAGATGGCTGATGCCTTTCTGTCATTTGTAGTTCAAAAATTGGGTGATTTTCTAATACAGGAAGTTTCCATGCTTACAAGTCTGAGAGATGAAGTTAAATGGCTGAGAAATGAGCTACACTTCATGCAGTCTTTCCTCAAAGATGCAGAACTAAAGCAATGTGGAGATCATAGAGTTCAACAATGGGTGTTTGAGATCAACTCTATTGCTAATGATGTTGTTGCTATACTCAAGACTTATAACTTCGAGGTTGGTAAAAGTGATGACATTGGATTTGCTAGTTGTCTCAAGAAATATATTCTACAATGTCGCCAAGATGCCAAGGAGATCCAATCACTCAAGCAACGAATCATGGATATTTCTCGCAAACGAGAGACTTATGGTATTACAAATATCGATAATAATGCAGGAGAAGGTCCAAGTAATCAGGCTTCCATGGTTAGAACATTGAGGAAAACTACCTCCTATGTGGATGATCAGGGTGACATTTTTGTTGGATTTCAGGATGTTGTAGAAAGATTGTTGAAAATTGTTTTTAGTTACTGCAGTAAACTTTAGTATAACAAGTTGCTAGGTTTAAGATTTTTGAATTTTAAATTATGCAAATTTTGTGTTTAAGTTGGTTACTTCCAGTTGTCTTCTTTTCTCAAACTGTTTTTACTTTTGCTGAGGGTCTTTAGGAAACAACTTTCTCTAGCTCTCAAGGTAAGGACAAAGTCTGGGTACATACCTTTCTCAGACCCCACTTATGGGATTACGTTGGGTATGTTGGGACAAAATCATGCATATACAAGCATATTCATACTGAATTGCATGACTACTTCAGAGTTCTGAGCATAGCTTCATGGTGATAGCTGAGGCAGAAGGCCATCGTAATTTAGGTATCCTATGTTCAAAATTCTGTAAAATTTGATGAATGGCACACTGGCAAATTGCAGTCAAGACTATCGAGACATAAAATTGGTCTCCAGCAGTCCAAGCCATTACATTTGCGGGAAGAAATGGATTTTTCAGATCAAAACTATTTCCGCTATCCTACTAAGCCTGAAGTTTGAGCAGAAACTAACATCAGCTGATGATCATCTTGTTCAGGAATTCAGCTTGCTCAGGAAAGTATTCCAACAGTTCATCTTTGGTCACCCAGACAAAATCATCACATTTTCTAATATCAAATTTGTTGGCTGCAATAACTTGGGATTTGAAGAAGAAGCGCTGCCACAATAAAATATAGAATATATACATAAGAGGCACAAACTTTGCAGAAGCTATCAGGGAATTTCCCTCCATCCGTCCCTCACTCCCTGTGGGATGACAGAATTTCTTACTGTCCTCTTCTTCAATACTTCAATACTTCAATACTTCAATAATTAAAATGTACAAACCTTGATTGACGGGATTTTCTTGTCTTCAGTGGATTGCAT